CAATATTTTTTTTTTTTTTTTTTTTTACTTTGAAAGCACGCTGCAACATCTCTGGGTCTGTGAACATGGCAGGGTGCCCGTTCGCAATCAATCGTGCAGCTCCACTCGGTTGCTTTCTGAAGCCTTAATTCGTTGAACATATAATTCAGGGATGTACCTATCGATTGCAGGATCTCCATGCGCAGCAGACGAGCAGTTGAGAATGACTGACTCTTCTCTCCGCCACTAAGAACCCAATTACAGCTCTTTATTCGTGACGCGTGTGTGATACACAGAAAGCCGTATTACAATATACTAAAAGAGCGCCTTCTGTGAGACGGCTTTATAATTGCGCGGATGTACATGAGATGGAAACATCAATATTCCAACCTGTTTGTATGTAACTATTTTTACCTTAGGATGACAAAAAAAAGTGAAGCATTAATTTCTGAACAACCCTCGTGCGCTCAGTGGAATATGCGCACAATTTTGAACATGTAACTATATAATCTGCTGTTTTCACCAGTTTATGCTCTATATTAAGTCAAACAATTAAATTCTAAGGAAATTGCTTTTCTAAGTCATCTTTCTTTTCAAAAACCTTATTTGTTATTTCAGGGTGAATCATATGCAATCCTGACATCTTAGTCAAGTTAACACGCCTCATTTAATAGCTTTAAATTGGTCGCGCAGAAAAAAAGGGGGTTGGCTAAAAGGAAGGCTATGCTTTGTTTCAGGCTAGGTTCGAGCGCGGCCTATGTTATGAGCCGAAGGACCAATCATACAGCGCAAAAAGCGCAGCGTCATGGCATGCTCTCTGCGCTTTATAGAACTAGCCAGAAGAGGAGCACGCACAGAGAAGCGGCGAACAACGGCTGGTCCTCTCAGGTGCAGAGAGCACGCCATGACGTTGTGCCGCTTTCGCAGTTTGATTGGCCCTTCGGCTCATAACATCGGCCGCGCTCGGACCTAAGCTGAAACAATTTTTTTTATAGCATCCATAATGAATGTCCACCCTCGCTAAATAGATAGGAGGTAACATCTATAAGAGCACTGCTCTCTCGGGTGTGCATGAACGTTCGAGATTTAAGGGCAAGCGAAACCAAGACCAGAAGTTGATTTCATCATCAATAATTTATCGATCCATCTTTTCAGCGTGGGACAGCGTCAGCTAGTCTCTCTCGCACGAGCACTCCTTCGACGCCCAAAAGTATTGATATTGGACGAAGCAACCGCACAAATGGACAGCAACACGGACAGCCTGGTTCAGGCTACGTTGAGAAGCAGCTTTGCCGACTGCACAGTTATCACCGTGGCTCACCGTATTCACACGATACTGGATTACGACATGTGAGTGGCCCGTTCCCTATCAGCTTGAAAGCTGGTTTGACGGCTTAAACATTGACGTAAAAAACAAATAATGCACACGCTAAAAAAAAAAAAAAAAACGATGTCATCAGCAAGGCAATACACCATTCCAATTTCACGAGTCCTCAGCTTAGCAAGCGATGTCGTCAGCCCAGCCCGCGCATATTCGTCGCTTCGGGAAGCGAGGAAATCACACGCCATACGCACGAACCCTGAAAATCAAACCCGCCAGGAGCCCTTTTTTGGAAAGGTTTATAGTCGTTGACATAAGTAGAGCGGCAGGGCGTATCTTTTGAACACCTGGCCTCTAGAACGCGCTCCATGCCTTCTAACGTGTTTTGGATGTGCGAGCCCCATCGAGGTGCACGATACATCGAACCATTCTCGCATGTACGAAGCTCGCGCTCAAGACGGGAAAGCAGGAGCTCATTCATTCTCCCCACGCCTTCTTAGAGGCACGATAATTATCTTCAAGGTACGCATAAAATTAGGCTTAAAATATTCCACTCACCACCGACATGATGGTCGTCTTTACCCTTTCCGATAATGACAAGCTCCGACAGCGCAGTGTCAAACTTTATTTATAACTTGTTATTGCTCATTGTCGTATGAGCGGTACTTGAAAATCGAAATATATAATTAGCTGGATCGTATGGTATTTATGGTCAGATATATCTCTGTTTATTGCTTCCTGGCTCTGTTCCGGTGTTGTAGGCCGACAGGTACGGGCCTCCGGCCTTTCTGGTACATCTCACCTCTCCCGACTCCAAGTAGATATTGCCGTCTTTGCTCGTGTAATAGTCCCGCTGTTTTTAAAGAAGGCTAGTGGGTCCGTTTTTACGTGGTGCACGGGAATAGCGAATCACCGCCATCGGCAAGAAAATCGAAGTGATTTACGGAACAGAGACGTCTTCACGCGAAATTGCTGTCGGTTCAGATCGATTTTTTACGGACAATCGTGTTCGAGCCCTCATTATTCGCTGCGTCCTTTATGCGGAGCGCGATGATTCACTGCATGCGTGTTCTGGAGGAACGTAGAGGCAAGGATCTTGTTCGTAATTTGTGCGGCTATCACTAGAGCAAATACGGTATTGTTATTATCTGAAAAACGCAGTGATTAGCTGATTATGTTCCAATTTTTGGCTTCGTGATTATTTCTTTGATGGTCTTAGTTGCAAATGCTGAGATCTCATTGGCCGCGAGTGGTATCAAAATATTCGCCACCCGCCACGCGCTGCAATTCTTATGCTGTTCAGGACCATAGCCAATTTAGCATTAACGTGTTACACGGGCGCACTCAAGTACAATTAACATAAGCCACAGGCACCACACAATACTTGCGGACAACATTCTGCAGCTATGCAGTCAAAGGTATGGGCGCACGCGCGCTAAAGCATTTTGAGCACCCATCAAAGCAGTACACGTTCACTATTCACCTCTTCTGAAATAGTTATCCTGGAATATAGTGCGGTAACTGTGGCGACGCGTAACAGAGGTTAAAGATGAGTTAACTGCGGTTACAGGTGCCCGTGTTACACCGGTATCAATGTGCAGGATATCGTATGATAAGACTTTATTACGCGTCCATTAACTTAATTGATCGTAACTCTTCGGTAAACTTGCGCGACAGATTTATATACGTTTAACGACAACATCACGTACTTCATAGCCAATCAGTACAAGATTGCAAAAAACATATCTAATAACACCAAGGTGTTTAGTTTTGTTGGCCGAGTTCTCCTGATACAAGGGAAAGACTACCTACAACTTGAGAATTTCAGGGCTTGGCAAATCTTCCACATATTTCGTAATCGTCTTGCAGCCAATGAGATCGAGTCATTAGTCAATGCAATCGCCTGAAAACCAAGCTCTGAGAGACAAGTCGCATCAAAAATGTGTTAAACTCCCAGTGACCATGGACACCGGAGCGCTCAAATAAAGATATTCGGTCTATGTGCAAGCTCATTAGGTCAGAAACCTATTTCGTTTTTTTTGTGCGTCTAGGAATGTATTGCACGTTTAAGTGAGGTGGAAGAGCGTGGGCGACGTAGTAAAATTTGATGAGCTGACGATTCCGAATTACGACTTCATAAAGCGTTCCTAATTCAATCACAGAATTGTAATTATAACATGATTTGTTTTGTTTCTTGCACGCTCTTCTGTGAAATTTTACGCACATCGCTTATCGACTTTGCTTAATTTTATTATTCCCAGGTATCATCATTGTTCCGGTATAGGGTGGTTCAAGTCACCAGGCTCGATCTAAGATGGACCGTAAAAATCGACGCCTGCGCGTAGCAATCTAAACTTTTCGTGAAATGTGTATTTCACAGGTCGCTTTTTTCTTGTAAAATTACAAAGCGTAGTTCTCTTTCTGTAAAAAATAAGGCAAAGAAACTTGCCAGGGTCTACGGCGGGCAGCGACGCAGACGACAGGGGTTCAGTAGCGGGGTGTGTTTGGCGTTCGTATTGATAGATGGCGCTAGCTTCTTATCGCGACGGCTCGCGACCACGTGGTTTATTAAAATGAACATAATATTTTGGAAATGTACCTTCGGTTGAAAACTAAATGCGGACAATAAAAGCAAAATTTAAAGTAGAGAAACGCGTCTGCATAACGGCGGCACTTTTGCTGCCAACAGATTTCGTCTTCGTGTCGTCTGCTTTCTTTCGCTGGTCGGCTGCACCTTTGGACGCCGCTCCCGACGCCATCTATCAATACGAACGCCAAACACACCCTGCTACTGAACCCCTGTTGTCTGCGTCGCTGCCCGCCGTAGACCCTGGCAAGTTTCTTGCCCTTGTTTTTTACAGAAAGGGAACTACGCTTTGTAATTTTACAAGAAAATACCGACCTGTGAAATACACCTTTGACGAAAAGGTTAGATTGATACGTGCGGGCGTCGATTTTTACGGCCCATTTTAGATCGAGCCGACTTAGACCGCCCTATATATTATATGCATTGGCGATCTACATAGGCCAGCAGCACTATTTCATAGGCTAAGGAAACATAATTATGGAAACAGTAACCATATCTAACCCCTCAAGATATCTAGCTATTCACCCCCTTGACAAACGGCAACAACAGAAATTTATTTTTTGAATGCAGCCAAGTATATGCCAGAATCCGTAAAGACGTTACTCTTTCCTCTATTGCTTCCGAAACAGGAGTCCTATGCAATGATCCTGGCGAAAGTAACTTAAGACTAATTTTAGTATAACTGTGATGGTGCTATGAGCTTTATATTATTTAAAACATCGTTTATGTAACATAACGAGTAACCATAGTTGGTGACAAATTAAGAGTTCAGTGAAAACTCCTCCCTCCCCTTTCCACTTTTGCAAAGCGAACGCTGGAGAGGAGGTCCCCTGCTCCCCAGCGTTTGCTCTACTAAAGTGGAAAGGGGTGGGAGGAGTTTCTCCTGAACTTTTAGCCTGCCACTGTCTATATATCAAATATTTTCCAACACACTAGTTTGCACAAGAGACGACCCGAATCCCACAGTTGAACGCATGTGTTTACTGTACCTTATATACGCTTGTCTAAGAAACGAACGTTTAGATCAACACTAAATGTGCAAACCTGAAAACATTGCTTAATTTATTTATCGACTTGCTGTAAAAATGGTAACCATCATGTTCTATTTTATAGGGTTATCGTGATGGCTGATGGCGTCGTACAAGAGTTTGGACCCGTGGCTCAACTCTTGTCAAATCTGAACTCGGCCTTCAGCCATATGGCGGGGAGTGACGGCATGACGCATTCATAGGCCTCAAATAAGCCGCATCATCGGTAACGCGTGCTATATTTGGTTTTACCTTTAGTCCAGACACAACCAACACTACAAGGTAATGGTACCAATCAATGAACGTCAGAAGCTCAATTCACTAGGCCTCTTTTGTTTATGGTGGGTTCGGCGATGACAGAACAAGTAGAGACACATGAAGAACACCATGATGGCGTGCTTTTGATGCCGACTGATTGCTCCATCAGCTCGTAGCGTCGGCTGCATTTATATTCAATGTCAAACGAATTATGATGCTCTAAATGCTTCGTCCTGTGCAAGCTCCACTTCTAAAATACTCTTTTTACAAGTAACGACAACCAATACAAATGATAAAGCACATTCCGCTGGAACAAAATGGCGTCACTCAGTTCACTCTTCGGGTGTGCGCCGCCATTCACTTCCTAAAAGCCTGCACCGTCACACAGTCGGCGCTTCAAGGAATGTCGCTACTTGTCGAAAGCTCTTCTCTAGAAACTTTATCCGATTCCGCAGAACCTGAAGGCGTAATGATTAGCGAAGTGGACATGCCTGATCAACCTCGGTAGAGAATTGATTTTTTTTGTTCTCTGATCCCTATGATTCACAGCATAAACATCACCGAACCTTAAGCCCTCATTAAGCTCAACATGAGAAGTAGATGCTACACTTCGTTTCAGCTTAAGTGCAGACGCAGCCGATGCTACGAACTAATGGGACCAATCAAGCAACGCCAAAAGAGCAAGTCAGTGTGTCTTTTATATTTGATTGGTTCAGCAGTGATGAAACGCGTAAAGAAAATATGACGCACAGAGTGCTGATGCGATTTCGACGCTGTCTAGTTGCCCCCATCAGCTAGCACCGTGGGCTGCATCTGGACTCAAAGTGACGCGAAGTATAGGGATTAATTTAAATGTGCAAGAAATTTGTTCATGACGACAAGTTACGTGAAAGCCGGTGTTGGTGTTATTCCCGATCATTTACTTGAGTATACGCACGCTTGTTCGCAAACAAAGAGTCAGCGAAATCACGCGCATAATTAAAAAGAAACGGTTTTCAATGGAATCGAACTGTTGTTCCTACTATCAAAGACAACACTCTTGGTTCGTTAACTTTCTTAACTGAATTCTACGTAAGAGGCATGTGCAGTTACTGTGAATATACTTGATGCCTATTAATTTTGGTAAGTGTACCATACCGTCCAAAGCTGTTTGATGTATTTTTAATATTACACTTAATTCCACAAAAATTGTTTTATTTAAACGAGCGTTCTCACGATGCAAATAAATAATAAAAATATTCTAAGCAACCAATTGCCTCTGTGTAAAGGTTTTATACATTCATTGTCAACATACATTTTTCGTTTATTGGTTCTGTTTTTCTGGGGTGTTTTCTTCGCGATTTTGTTACGTTGTTTGTAACTGTCTGTATAATTCATATCGTTAATGCAACGATGGGATTAGAAAGATAATGCATCTTCTCCAATTTCGTCTGTTGCCGAGATTTTTTTAAATAAAGACAATATTACCAAGAAATAAATAAACAAATGTCAGTCTTAAACCGAACTGTACATTTGCATATTTTAATCGTAGAGCGATGGTGGGAGTCTTGCTGTAGCGAAAACGTCAGGCCTAGAGGTTGGAATTTTTGCATTTGGTGAAATTCGGGAACCACATTTTGCCAGCAACCTCAACAAAGTCAAGGCTAACAAAAATTGTATTGTAGAAACGTTGAGGATACTCCAATAAATTGTTTCTTGGCTCTGAGGTGATGTATGGCTGTCTTTATTTAAATTTAATGCACTTGAATGTGGCGTGAGTGCAAATGCGCTTGGTCATAGTGCTAGAGTTTTTTTTTTTTTTTTTAAGATGACGAAGTCAAGAATGTGATCGTCCAATTGCGTTTTGTAATTTCGTTTTCTTTCAATTCAGTTGCCTTTTAAATTTCACAAATTTTACTAATAAATTGTGCGTAGTGCCCAAAAAGCCACCAAAGTATCGAATATACAATAATTAAATCCGTGACATTTAGATATTTTTTGTGACATTATACTGCTCTTTATATTGTCTAGTACTTGTTCAAGATAAGAGCCAACAAAGCTGCTCAAGACCGAGTCCTGTCCTCTCCAAGTCGTTAAGCCATTGGCTCCGGGATGATTAAAATGTCTAGCTTACTACAGAAGATAATCAAGCAGCTTCCGTTTATGTACAGAGGTCCACCCTAAGTGGTTGACAGATTGCACCTTAAGTGTTGGACGGATTGGAGCTGAGACACTTGGGTCATGCTTGTGCATAGAACCAGGCGAACAGATTAAACTCTTAGTTCAGCGTTCGCCTATATTGTTTTTTTTTTTATTTCAGTTTCCTTGCCTTTTTTTCCTTTCGAGCTGGTTACATTAAAAAAAAAACTAAAAAAAAACTAAGAGTTGCTCAAGTTACTTTGTTGGCCTCCTATAATCTACAATTCTTCCGTAAGCCTCGGGCGGGAAAATTGTGGAAGGAATTCAACCCCTTCTAATGGAAGGCGTTGAGCGTACAGTCAGCAAAGGCGCAACTATTGTAGGGAAGAAAAGAGAGAGAACCTGCGTTCCCACGAGCTCGAGAGTTACAGTAATCACACAATCCTGGCTCGCCTGCATTTAGGCTCTAACCTAATCTCTTCTGATGGCCCCCTCAAAAATCTTTCAAGGGTGCTTCGGCAGCAGAAAATACAGGTCAGGACGGGAGGAAAGAATTTGTAAACTTGGCTAGATCAATTACTTTTCTCCCCCTCCCCCACCTAATGTCCTTTGATTGTGTGCGATAAATGTGATGGTGAAAAACATTATGTATACGTACATGCTGTCCTCTTTCGCTGTTGCGGGGAGGCAGAGGCTCGTCAAGCAAACAGCTGAGTTGCTTTTTTTCTCTGTATATATATAGTGGTACAGCTGGAAATTTTAGAGTCATTTCAGAAAAAAATTGGTTCCGAAATACAATCCTTCACTCTCCGAAAACAAATGCATTAAACTTCTTGGCTCCAGGACCGACATTGTCATTAAGCCAGCCGACAAAGGTGGTGCCGTAGTTGTTCTCAATACGCAGGACTACATTAATGAAGGACTCCGACAACTGAATGACCCAAAATTTTACAAAAAAACTTTCAAGTGACCCAGCATTGCGAATCAAGTCCGTTGTTCTCAAAGCACTGTACCACTTGAAAGATAACGGTGGAATAACTAAGGAAATGTTCCACTGCATTAAGCCCTGGCACCCCAGGCCTGGGCGATTCTACACGCTACCTAAGATACACAAGGAGAATAACCCTGGAAGGCCAATAGTGTCTGGCATAGGAACAGTAACCGAAAGAATATTAAGTTTTATTGACGCTATAATTAAGGAAATCCCACCCACCTTTCCGTCATTCTTGAGGGACACGAACCATTTCATCCAGGATATATCCCAGCTATCCATACCCACAGGATCATTTCTGGTAACATTGGACGTAACTGCGCTGTACACCAACCTTCCGCACGATGACGGCATCGCAGCGGTAATTGGAGCGTATGTGAACACCCGAAACTCTTCAATACTCGATTGTCAGTCCTGAACAAAATTGTTACGACTCGTGCTTGAATGCAACCATTTTGAATTCGAAGATGAACATTATCTCCAAATTAGCGGAACCGCCATGTGCACAAAAATGGCCCCAAATTATGCCAACATTTTCATGGCGGAATTGGAGGGTCGGTTCCTCGCAGATCGTCCGATTCAGCCATGTTTCTATAAAAGGTATATTGACGATATTTTTATGATATGGACAGGCACCGAGGACGAACTCAACACATTTATTTCGGAATACAATTCGGCTCATTCTTCTATTCGGTTCACCCACAACGTATCGCAGCGGACAATCAGTTTCTTGGACGTTACCGTCCAAATTCAGGATAACAAACTTTCCACTAAACTCTACAGAAAACCCACGGACAGGTAACAATATCTTAACTACGATAGCTGCCACCCCCACCACTGCAAAAATAGCTTGCCCTATTCTCAGGCGCATAGGTACAAACGTATATGCAGCAACGAGAAAGACTTCAAACAAAACGCAGATAATCTAACGAAAGCACTCATTAGGCAAAGTTATCCTCCGGGCGTCATAAACAATGCTATAGAAAAGGCTAGTAAACTAGACCGCACGACATCCATCAACAAAACAAGCGTTCGAAACTCAGAGAATAATCAGTATAATTTAGTGCTAACCTACGCAAGTAACCTTCCCAACATCAACAACATCCTACGCAAAAATTTTAATATTCTCTCACAAAGCCAGCGCCTCCAATCTGTCTTTCCGCAGGCTCCACGCGTCGTGTACCGTCGAGGAAAAAGCCTTAAAGACATGCTAGTACGATCCAAAACCACACATGAGGAGTTCCTGGGATCTCGGCCATGTCGGGTGCCGCGGTGCAAAGTGTGTAGCCACATGACAGAATCCGTGGAGGCAAAAAGTACTAATTCGGACTTCACCTTTAGGATAAACGGAAATTATAACTGTAACTCAGCTAATGTTGTCTATATGTTGCACTGCCGCGTATGCAACATGCAGTATATTGGACAGACCGATCTCCCCTTCCGTCGAAGATTTAACAATCAGAAGTCCCACCTTAACACACTCCCCAAACTCCCGCTACTCTACAAGGTCCTCATTCGCTCTAAACTCGAATATTCCGTTTCGGTTTGGGATCCAAGCCACGAAAACTTGATACACTCACTTGAAATGGTTCAAAATAATTCTGTTCGTTTCATATTGTCTAACTATAATAGAACTGCAAGCATCAGTACAATGAAATCTAACCTTGATCTGCCATCCCTAACATCCCGCCGCAAGATCTCTCGTCTTTGTCTCTTTCACAAACTGTTTCTTCATCCCTCCTTGCGCGCCGAACATATTTTACCCCCCCAATACATCTCATCTAGATTAGATCATGTTCATAAAGTCGGGATTCCATCGTGTAGAACTAATGCTTT